GTTGCTTTGGCCTAAGACACGAAAGAGTCCTGAAAGAAAAATCTAAATACTGCATAGCAAAGAATGCCATTTGTAGGTTAAATGAGCATGCAGCAAAGGAAACAATACACAAATCAAAATTCCTTACTCCCATGCAATAGCTGCCACCATCAACAGATACATCAGATAATGAACGGAGCCATCCCAATAGCAGATCACGTGGCCATATGCAGTGTTCAGATATGGTTCACCCTAGGGAATATTTATTTTAAGAAAGATGCAGTGATTAGAGAAAGAATAATTTATTAATTCAACAGCAGGAAACAATTTCAGAAAAGTAAACTGATGCTCTCTGAAACCAGGGTACGGGTTTTGACTGACAATGAATGTTTCCAAGCACAGATTTTATTTAGGTAGGATCAGCTATAATTAAATCAGTTCTATATTTGCAAAATAGGGTGCAAGATGGGAGGGAAGACTTTTATGTTACTGTCAGCACTGTTCTGCTATTTTATGGAAATATTATTTTTCCATAGTTTAGTGATAAAAGCTACAAAATAAAGATACACTTAACATGAAACAAATTAAGATTCATTTAGCAACTTTGAGATCCACAACAGTATTGAATATACTGATGGCAACATATAACCTTGTAAGGTCCAACTCATTTCATGAATCTTTTCAGTGACTTTCATGTCGAGCTCTTACTGTGCTATTTTTGATGAATGTTGATATTCAGCAGCCAACAGATTCTGCTGACTAGGTATCTGGCGTCATCACTTTTTAACTCCAATTCCTTTCAGTAAAGTGATTAGATAAAAATAAAGAAGCAATTTTGTTTCTTTCTTGGTAACACATTTCGGTACTTGTCCTGGTTTCAGCTGCAACAGTTATCTTCCTCCTTCCTTGTAGCTGATGCAGTGCTGTGCTTCAGTTGTAGCCTGAGAGCAATGCTGAATGTGGTTCAAAGTTATCAGCTAGGCTTAAACCACAACAATCCTGCAGTACTCATCCACTCCTGAATCCCACCTATGGTTTTCTGCAAACACATACAGTCTATTCAATTCACACAGAAATAAATACAGAATACTATTATTTAAACCAAGTGAAATAACACTGGAGCTTGAAAAGAGTGCTATTTTTCCCAAATGAGTGATTTCAGGTCACTGAAAGTTCTGTCCATAACCATAATGAAATGGGTCAATGACCAAATTCAAGAAGACCCATTTGAATGTGTAACTGGCTATTTTCCTCTGGCAAATACTATACCAAGTTATTTATAGTAAAGACTTTATTTACATTTGTAAGCCAAACAATTGCTTACCTCTCTCAAGTAATGAGTCATGAATCCATCAATAATTCCATCTTGTTCAAGTCCAATTATTAGATTCACTACACTGGTAAAGGCAAATACAGCATACACTGTAATAAGATAAAGAGTAAAAAATAATAAATTAATAAATATTCAGAACCACACAGCTGCTTCACAGTCTGATAAATTCAATCAGGCAGGGATCTATTGAACCAGATGCATATAATTGAGGTCACAGATATTTAACATACAACATGATTTTCCCACATAGAGTAGTATTTTTTTTTTATCAGTGGTTAGTCAACAAAGTTCTTAGGAAGCTTTTCTTAGGAATACAAAACTCTGTGAGATGTAGGCACAGCCTCCATGGGAAGCCAGTGTCTGCAGGAACAACTATGTAGCCTTTCAAAAATCTTGGTCACAAGAAGTGTAAAACCTTGGCTGTCCTCATCTTTTGGAAAGGAGAAAGGACAATAAAAAGGAGGTGGAGAGGGAAATATGACTTGCCATTTTTGGAGGTGATCAAGGCAAACTGCATCAGCCACAGCAGTCCATAGGAGACCTATCTGACAAGTTAGCAAGTCACTCCTTTGACACGGGAAATTTATTTGTGATAGCTTTATGCTATTTATTTCCTTTGACTTCAGCCTCATGCAGAACACTGGGGAATGAAACCTACGAGTTGTAATGAGGAGGAAGACAGAAGGCAAATACAGGTGGTTTGTATCCTGCTTTGCCTATGGGCCCATCTTGTAAAACTGAAAAAAACAGCAGTGTTTTTTATTCTAGATTTTGCTATAAGGTAAACTAGAACTAATGTGTCCTTTTAAGGGGTAATCATTATCTCTATTCTTTTATGGCAAAGAATCAGTATAGAAATGCTTGAGTTTGCAGACAGCCTAAGCCAGGAACTGGGATGGTTTGAACTTTCCTGTATATCACAAACGTGAGTTAACACAGAAGCCTAATAAAAATAGGAGAATTAAGGAATTCAGTCATAGGAAGAACCAAGCCATGCAGGCCATTGATCCAAAAGTTCCAGAAAGACTAAATGAGTGCACACAGGATGAGATATATGAGAGGTCTACTGTGGAGTCTAAGTCCTGCTACAAAGATCTTAACAGAGCAGATATGACAGTATTTCAGTCATGGCCCAGCTTGAGTGTTACTCTTGTTCTTTTTCCTGGTCTTTCTTTCTTGGCTCCTTAGCATCCCCGCACCAGACAGGGTTCTGAAGCCATGCTTCAAATGTTCAGTATGAAATAACCGTCATATATTATCATTTATATAAATTAATACATTCTAATTTTAGCTTCACTGTTACCAAGACATACCATAAAACAGAGGGTCTTTGGGTGGTTTTCTTTTGACAAGAACACGAGCCAACAGAGCAATAAAAACCAGAACCAGCAATCCAACTGGAACAATTATCCAGGAACTGTAACAGTGTGAAAAAGAAAAAGAATTGAAAAGAAAGAAAGAGGCAGATTTTTGCTTGCTCAGCTTTTTTTTTACCAGCTGTCCTCGAATGCCCACACTCTTAAAGTAACTTTTAATACTTTAAAAGTATTTTAAGTCTCTTTCTAAAATGGTCTTTTTAGTTTTTGAAGTCTGACACATAGTCTGTCATAGAACTCATTTTATACTTTTGCAAATTTATGTGCCTGTCTTTTCACGTGATCATCTAAAAAAAGAAAACGCTAAAATAGCTAGATAAACAACATAGCCAGGAGTCCAGATTTGTCTGACTAAAATCAGTTTTCATACTGGTATCTGCAAAGATAAACAAAAATGATGGAAAACTTAGAGGCCGACGAGAGGTGAAAGTCACAAACACAGAGATTTCAAGGCCAAAAAGGATCATTAGGGGCATTTAGTCTCAGCTCAGCAATAAATTATCTACTCAGGGAATTACATATTCACAAATAAAACGCATCAGTCTTATGGAACACAGGTGGGTCTAGGTCTAATTTCCAGTTTTGGAAGTGCTACCAAAAGACTCTAAAAGGCAGGATCAGTTGGGAGGTCAGCAGAAAAGGCTTTTTCTCTGAAGACAGGGCTATAATGTTAGTGCATGTAGAGTGGTGCTAGGGGAAAGGACAAAAATCTTTGGCACAAAGGATATTTGTCTCCTTCCCCAAGAAAATGCAAGTTAAGAAAATCAGTTTGAAATTGGTTTATAGCTCTGGGTAGATTCTATTTAGTTCTCTTTAAGACAAAACTCTTCTCAGTCTTCACTTCTGTGCTTGTGCATAGAGTGAAAAAGGAGTGGAAAGTTAGGTAAGGTCCAGAAGCATACGCTAAACATATTTGTATATGATTTTTATACATAGTACCAATTCTGTGTGTCAAGAAAATAAATTGGATACAAATAATAGTATGACAATTTCAGCCTTTGTGCAACTTGACTTAAAACTATTGCAAAAACCGTGCAAGGTCAAACATATCAGAACATACACACATACTTTGAGTCGGGATGAGCAGCACTAGCGTGTTGGTTTTGTTTATGGTTTGAATCTTCTGCTAGTCTGTTTTCCCGGTGATGAATTTCTTCATACCATTACAGCTGTTAATATTGCAGTGACTTTTCACTGCGGTCTATCATTTTGAAATAAATATTGGCAATGAATCAAGTAAGTCAGCATGTGTTATTCGGCATTTCTCTAGCAATGACAAACTAAAAATGAAGTTATCGGCCGAAGGAGGAAAATGAGGACGGAACAGATGTAGCTAAGCCTTAAAACCATGAAGCAAATATTTGTGCAGTAAAGTTGCAAAACACCCCAGTCTGTGGGATCACAAAATACCACACGGACCTTTAAGTACAGTGGTTTTTCCATGAGGAAAGACCTTTATTTTCTAGACCTGCGGTTGATCCTGGGATCCTAGTTTTTTGGCAGAGCAAGGGCACATGGACATTTCCAGTTAGAACTCGCACGTCTGACGGGGTGCCTGAGCTGGTGAGTTCTTCCAATCGTTTTAAAATAGAATTGGATTTTGTTTGTGAATGCTGGGCGCCGGGACAGCCTCCAGCGCCCGTTGCCCCGCGGCTCCAGGCTGGGTGCAGGGCGGGTTCGACGGGGCCGTGCGGCACCCCCGGGCCGCTCTGTCCTCTCGGCGGCGGTGACCCTTGCTCCGGCGCACTGGGACAGGCTGCAGAGGATGCTAACCCGGAGGGCTTGGGGGTCCTGGGGTGAGGATCCCGGGCCAAGCGCCCCGCTCACGTCTCCCCGGTTGCATCCCTGCACTGCTCCCGTTAGAGGACGCGGGCAGGACCCGGGAGCGAGTCCCCTCTGCCGCCCGGCCCGCGCCCTCCGCTGCCCCGCTCCGCCTCCCGCCCGGTCCCGCTCAGCCCCGCGGCCGCAGCTGCCCTGTCCCTGCGCCGCCGCTAAAAATACCCGCCGGGCTGCCCTGGCCGCCCGCACCTCCCTCAGCCCCGCCGCCCGCTCCGCTCCGCTCCGCTGCCGCAGGGCGGGAGCCGCCCGGTCTCGCCCGCCTCACCTGCCGGTGGCCGCCAGGCAGTTGAAGAGGTACGTGACGGGGATGGCGGTGAGGGACAGCACGAAGACGCCGGTGGCCGCCGAGGCGCTCATGCCCGCGGCGGGAGGCGGCAGCCGCGCTCTGCGCCCCTGCGAGCGTCGCGCCCGGCCCGAGGCACCGCCTCGCCTCAGCCCTTCCCGCCCGCCGGCCCCTGCCCGCTGCCCGCCCCGCCTGGGGAGGGTTAAACCCGCCTCAGAAAGCGGAGCCGGCCGCGGCTGGAGGTCGGTGCAACCGCCCGCTCGCCCCGGGGCCCGGCCCGCTCTCCCCGCCCCGGCCCAGGCGGTAGGGACCGCCCGAACGGTGATGCCGCCCGCGCGGAACCGTAGTGGTGGGGGAGCGGCGGCAGGGAAGGGGCAGCGAACGGCCCCGGCGGGGCGCCAAGCGGCTGCTGCAATAGTTGAAGGAAGCGTTGGGAAAGAGGCTGAACGGGTCAGATAGGAGTAACGGCGCGGCAGGACAGACACCGCAGGTGGAGGCAGTGGGGTGCGCGAGCGGTGTCTGCTGGAACAGATCCTTGTCATAGGTCGGAAAGAGGTTCCCTTGATCTGTCGAGTGCAGGAGGCTAAGAAACCCGATTAAAAAGTATACACCTCCTTTTACATCAGAATTTGGCTCGGTTATTAGGAATAAGGACATTAGCATTTAAACAGTGTTTTAATTGTGAACTCACTTTTCTATTTAAATGTCAAAAAATAACAGAAACCTCATATCCATCATCTTTTTTTTCTGGCTTCAAACTTTGTTTATACACAAGTATCAACACTAAAGTGTTGGTGCGCAAACAGAAGTTGAATGCATCTTGTGTGCAAGGCAAACAAATGAAAACCACTATTCCTGGAAGTTAGTGAGCATTTAAACCCAGGACATTGGCAAAAGAGAACGGCCATCCTGTGTTGCCTGGGGAAAAGCAGCAAATGCATTTCTAGCGTGCGAGGCAGGCTCCTGCCGGTTGAAAGCAGGAAGCATTGACGCCGTTGTGAAAGCACCCATTTGCGATAATGGGCTCGATTCCGATTCCTCAGTGTTGAAATGATGCAGAGAACTGCTAAGGTGGCAGAGGAAACAGGGCACCTGTCCATCAGGAAGAAGCTGAACAGCTTGGCATACGAGTGCTTTCTGTAAATACTTGAGGAGTTAACACCAGGGAAAGAAAAGAACGCTTTAATTTGAAGGATAAAGCTGTGAAGAAACTTCTGCTACTTTCTGGAAACAGCTTCTTAGCTATCAGCAGTAAAGGGTCTTCTAAGTCTTTTACAATGAGTGTAGTGAATTAAAAAACAAACAAACAGTTTTAGGATGTTATTTGGTAAGTTTAAGCCACTAATTGATATGACTGCCTGACAGAAAGCAGCTTGATAAGCCAGAACATATCTATGTCCTATATATTATATACAAATTCTTGCATAGTTACTTTGCATAGTTATTTCAAGTGAGAAAGGTCTAGAGACTGGCCACATGTGTATGAATGGGTTAAACCATGCTGCTCAATCAAACTATCTGGTAAAAACATGATGCAATTCCTAAAAGTAATTTAGTCCACCCAAGTGTCAAAATTGCCATTGGATGAGTCAGGGCTAAATTTACCACCTCCAAATGCCTACCTTTCAATGCACAGCCGGTTCACTTCTCAAGCTTTCAAATGTATAGGCTGCTTATTTGTATGCAGCTGCCATGGTGCAGTCTCAAGATTCATGTCTCAAGCTTTGCTTCTTAGTTCCTATGCCCATAAAGTCAAACACTGTATGGAAAACTTCTTTGCCACTCCACCAGCATATTCCAAGCACTGATTTATGCCAGGCTTATTAACCAAGTCCTGTTTCAGCTTCTGAATGGAAACTGTCAGAGTACATTGTGTGGTCAGCACATAGCAGCTCACCAGCACATTATTTGAGTCTATTGTGTTGAGATCTACGAATTTTTGATTAAAAAAAATAAGTATGAGCAGCTGGTAGCAGAAAAGACTTCTGAAACGGGATGTTTGAAGCATTTGCTCAAAAGGGCATGGTTTTTCCTTTCATTTTCATCTCTCACCCTCTGGAACAAGAGCTCCCAGCTCCATCATTCCTTTCCTTTTCCTGACAGAGGAGGCCCCCAAGTCCACGCGTGATAGTGTTGAACATCTGGATTCTGGAATGCTATGCTTTCCATATAAAAATCTTAATTTCTAGTAGCTACAGGTTCTTCTAATCCCAGCCTTCCTTCTCTGTGTTTCTATTTCAGGCTTTATGAAGAAAGTAATATCCCCATCATTCTTGCTAACTTTATTTGTTAGGTGATACCAATTCTAGAGAAAAAGGGGAAAACTTCTTGAGTTCACGCAGCCCAAAGCCTCTGACCAACTTCCCCAAGGGCAAATAGTTCAAAATTTCGCTTTAAAACAGAAATTATGTCAAACAGCAAACTATGTTATGGACCAAGCAACACCCTCAGTTCAAAAGCAGGAGTCCTCAAAAACTAACACATACATTTCTCAAAAGCTTTAAGTGTTCTTATGGGGGAGGAAGGTGAAAGAACTTCAGCGCTATGTACCACCCTCTATTCACATGAACAGCAATATAAAAATTAAGGTAGGAATAGGGTGTCTTTAACAACATAGTTCCTAATCAAAGTGTTACAGGAAAGCAGTGTTGATAAACTGCTATCACCAAAGAAAGTGTAACCTCCCAGCTTCCTGTCACATACTCAACATTTCTCAATGTTGCAAAATATTTTTTTCCTTTCATTTTTCCTGAATTTTATTAATGGTAACATTATCATGAGGCATGTGGATGCCATCACTTGTAGAAAATCATACAACTGTTTAACTATTTAGCAATATTAGATGTCAGGATAAGATTGAAAAATGCAAATATCCTACATAAACTGCAGTGAAGCGTAGGCAAGCAAAATGAAGTAATGAAAACATTAAAATTAAGACTCCTTCCCATGCAGAAATTGTCAGAGAATCATATTTATTGACAACATGAGATTCCTAAAGTTCTGATCTTATGTTTCATCTGAAAGACAATCCCTTCAGCAGCATGGTGTCAAAACTGATCTTTCACCATATTGTACATTCCTCTGTCAGAAACCACGTGATTTTTGTCATTTTTAAATGGGAAGCTCAACTTTCTCTCAGTCGTATGCCACATGACAGATTGCTCAATGGGAATCCTGACCTCAGCCACAAACCAGATCCACTTCTGTGGCTGCTTGGCTGGCGATGCTCAACTCAAAAGCAGCATGCTTGGGCTGATGTTTGTCAGCTTCTCCATTAGACAGGATCAACAATCAGTATTTATAATATAGAAGATATTTCTCTTCTGTCTCTCCACTAAATGGCAGCAGATCAGTCTTGATGTCAGGACTAAGGCAGCATTTGTAAGTGTGCCAGCAAAGAATGCTGTGGAGGACATGAAAATGCTTTATTAATGGTCAGCTTCAAAGTAGGAGACTAACTGGCTGTTAAGTCTTCAGTCTGGGAAACAGCTATTATCTTTAATAACTGCTTGTTAAATCATGACAAATTGCAAGGCTTAACATTATATTGAGACACAGCTGATTTTATTTTAAATCAAGGAAATTACATTAATCTATACAAATATAGGTAGGTGAACCTTAAGCAAGCACATGAAGATCAATGCAAGGATTAAGAGATGCTATTTATAGCTCATGGAAGCACTGTTCATGTGTTCACATTGGCTTTGCCAAGCAGCAAGCCTTCACTGCATTATGGTGCCAGCTACGAAATGCCACCCTGCTACAAAACAACTCTTGTCATTCAGCTTTTATTGAAGTAAGCTGATACATTCTTGAAAGTGCACTTCCCCTATTTGCAAGTGAGTTTTTAAGGCAAGAGAATTCAGTAACCAAAAGTCCAGATAAAGATGGATTTAAAAGTGCATTAAAAGATAAATCAAAAGCTTCAAATTTGGAACTTTTGTCCCAGGGGAGCAGCTTGGACCACACATAACTGCAATCCTCTAACACCTTTAAAACCAACCTGTCCTATTTCTGAACAGAACAGAAAAAAATCCTGTTAGTTGAGGGTGTAAGACCTAACAAAGGATGCTGTATTATACATCACAGACTGCATGATGCACCAGAGGCAATAGACTGTAGTCTATATGGTATGCACTAGGGGTCAGGAGGCCATGTGCTAATGATCTGCTGAGGATCTGGGGGGATTCTCCAGCAGCAATCACTGCACCAAAGAAGCAGGCAAAAAGGAATTAATGGGTGTCCATTTTACTTCTAAAATTGAGTATCGATGTTCTTTAGGCACTTTACAAGACATATAATAATAAAAAAAAATGTAATCCCTGCCCTTAGTGTTTCTCAGATCTGAGACTCTGAATTCGTTTTCTGTGCATGCATGGATCCTGTGCTCCAAAACCTGCAAGGTCACATTACCTGCAGATCCCACATCACAACAGTACAGATTAATGCAAAACAGAGGGAAAATAACAATAACAGTAATAATCACAGTAACTAGCCCAAGGAAATACCATCATCATCATTATTATTATCATTATTATTATTATTATTATTATTATGCATTGTTATTGCAAATTAGCACATTTGAGTAACTTTAATGCTCCTAGTAATTCAGTCACCAGAGTGGTAATACTGATGCCTGTCGTCCATAGCAATGGCATGGATCAGATGTAGGAGATTTTAAGAATCTAATTGAACATGGAAAGGAAAAGATGTCATCAAGTGGGCCAAACCAGGAAGTTTAATCAGAAACAAATTTGTGATTTACTCTGAATTATTCTCTTCCCTCCTGAAGCAGACAAACGATGCTGCCTATGAGAACAATTGCTAATCACTGTAAAAATATATGCCAGCTCAAAAACCCTGATCATAACAACAAACAGCTCCTCAGAATATACACAAAGCCGAGTTCATGTGGGGAAAAGAAGGAAAGGGAGGAGAATTCAAATAATTTCAGGAACAAATGATTGAAAACAATATACTTTGTAACCCAAACCCTTTTGATGGCTCTCACAGAACTGGCCTTGTTTCATTGGCAGGGAAGGCCAGGGCCCCTGGGACAGCATTCCTGTGTCTCTGGGACATCCCCAGCATCACAGGTCTCAGAAATCCCTGCAGTTTCATCAGGACATTCTCTGCTTCTTCCCTGGTGTATGTAAACACTCTCTCTTCCTGCCAACAGGTAAAGGAACCTCAAAACTTGGAGAGTACTTCTTACATGAATTTCCACAGAAAAAAAGGCACCAGGTCAGCATGAGCTTGCTCAGGCCGTTACGCAGACCTAGAAAATGAGTTGCTCAAAAGTGTAGACACTCCCTGACCTTCTGTTTTGCTGGTTAGTGATCAGGACAACCTTCACAGCTATATAATATAATACTGTTGAACTTTTGTCTGCAGCCCTTGATTTGTAGCCATTCCGTTACATGAGATCAAACAAAAAGTTCTTGGGCCAATTTGCAGGGCTTACATTGTATAAATATTTTTTTCTATATTAGCGTCTGCTGTATTTCCTAGACACAAACTGAGCATGCTGAGAAAGCAAACAACAGGATGGAATTTTAGTGACATTCATATGTAGCTCCTTTTGGGAAAAGCATTGTGTATTATTTCTGATCTGGACTGGTGAATACAATCCCATGACATCACGTTTAAAAGTGGCTGACATCCACCTACTGGTAATGCCAAAGAAAAAACAGATGACTTTTTTTTTAGGAAGGAAGCTGGCATGGAGATTACAAGGTGAAATGAATATCCGAGGCTCATTGTTCACATGCAAAAAACTCCAGTTTCAGAAGGAAATCTGTTACTTAATATTCTCTTAGTTCTCACTTCCAGAACTGTTTAAGTTACTGCATTTGGCTTTTAGCTGATCAGATCTTCCAGCTGATGGGCATCCAAGTCACATTTCTCCTTTTCTTCATATCCTATATCCCTTCCTTTGTCTCCTTTCCTGGTTTGTTTTGTTGGTGTTTTTTTTTAATTTATTTCTTTTTTCCCACAGACTTTGATTTCATATTATTTTTATTTCTGTACCCTCATTGTCATAGGACAAGGGGTAAAGGGTTCAAACTTAAACAGGGGAAGTTTAGATTGCATATAAGGAGGAAGTTCTTTACTGTAAGGGTGTTGAGGCACTGGAATGGGTTGCCCAGGGAAGCTGTGCATGCTCCATCCCTGGCAGTGTTCAAGGCCAGGTTGGACAGAGCCTTGGGTGACATGGTTTAGTGTGAGATGTCCCTCCCATGGCAGGTGGGTTGGAACTAAATAACCTTAAGGTCCTTTACAATCCTAACTATTCTATGATTTTCTCTATTTTCTTTCTCAGCTCATCTCATGGGTCTTTTCCATTTTTTCTGTCTTTCATAGCTTTATCTTCTTGTGATTCATTTCTCATCCCAGAAGGTGTCTTACATACTCTCTCTGCCCCAAACACCCTCCTTTCAATTCTTTGGCATACCTTTCCTTCTTATTTTCTTAACCCTCTTCTGTCCTTCTTAACATCCTCTGCTACTGACTTTTTACAGCCATGGTTCTCTATGAGAGTCATGGCTGTTGGCTCTCGGCTGAGAGACTAACCTGTGAGTGAATGCAGGTAGCTGAAAGCAGAAAGACAGCAATGCAGAAATTCTCATTAATACCCAGATCATCCCAGGACCAAAATAAAAAATCCCCAGAAAACTACTGATCTGTGTTCTTGGTGTCACCATTTCCCTCATGGTTTTTCAGATCTCTGTCCCTAAACTGTCAGGCGGAATCTGGGCTTCTCCCACTTTCCCTTCTTTGCCCACCTTGGGACAAGAAACGCGCAAAGGTGATAACCTTCATTCTTCTAAGTCAGCAGTATGGTTTTATTTTTAAATATAGCCTCTGTGCACGGCTACTTGCTGCTTTCTGGCTGGTATACTATGTCTTCTTGTGCCCTTTGCCACTATAGTTTACCCCGCTGAAATTGCTTCCATCTTGCTTAAGGTTCTTTTAAACTCGTTCTGCAAAACGAACCACATTTGCTTGGTCTCAGTTTTGTCCTAATTATAAACCTAAATGCAAAGTGGTGACATATTCTGTTCCCCTTTTAGCCACACGTTTCTATAAATGCTGACAAGTCAGGAGCTATGATAAACAGCTTTCAGCTCTGTAATTCAAATTGCTGCTGTATTTACAGCAAAACTCCAGTAGATGGCAAAATGATCCACCTTATTTTTCAACTGACAGTAGCTCGAGAGGACTCCAAAACCGTACCTTTTTCTTTCCCTTCTCTTTCCCAAAACCCACCACCAGTATACTAAAAATAAACCTATACTGCTTGTCAGAATTTGCTCAATTAATTGGGAAGAGACTCCTTTAACAGTGCCTGTTGTGACAGGGTGAAGTGTAACAATTTTAAACTAAAAGAGGAGAGATTCAGGCTGGATGTAAGGAAGAAACTGTTAATAATGAGGGGGGTAAAAAACTGCCAGAGGTTGCCCACAGAGGTGGTGAATGTGCCATCCCTGCAGACATTCAAAGCCAGGCTGGATGTGGTTCTGGGCAACCTGATCTATTTGAAGATGTCCCTGCTCACTGCAGGGGGTTGGACTAGATGACCTTTGATGGTCTCTTCCAACCCAAGCCATGCTACGATTCTATGAACTCACCACTCTATGCTCCCTGGTCCAAGGACATTACATTTGGTGGCTGCTGCACTGCCTCATTGCTACGTTCACAACGGCTGGTTTTGCTTTGATTTTTCTCCTCAGATGTTTAAAACACGCAATGTCCAACCACACTGTAAGTGGATTTCTTCTGTACAAGCACTGCAAGGTACGTGCATCAACAGTCATCAACATTCCAACATTATTTCACAAACAGTTAAAGTAGGTGATCGAGCTTTGTTTTCCCTGCTACCGTAAGGAACGGTATTATAAGCAGGAATTTACATTTGAGGTGCACACACACCTGCACTGTGCGCGCGTTCCCACATGTACCGGTGTAAAGGCCCGTGCCCGCCGCCGCACTCTGTGGTTCGCACACCTGGGTTTCCCCTCGCAGGGCTCTGGAAGCGCACTCCCGCCGCACACGCGGACATGAAACGCCTTTACAAGCCTAACGAGTAACACGGACCGGAGCACGGCCCTGCCGGTGCCCGTGCGGCCACTGGGAAGGGAAGGGAAAGTAAGTCCGCAGCGGCCGCAACGTCCCCACCGCGAGCTTCCGCGGCACAGAGGCGCATGCGCGGCGCAGGGGCGGTGAGCGGCTGACGTCGGGCGTTCGTGTGCTGCCGGTAAACGGAGCGGCGCGGCCTGCCCCCTCAGGGCGGCGATGGCGGCTGCCGGCGGCGGTTCGGGTGCGCCCGTGGAGACACCCGCCGCCACAGCCGCTGCCGCCGCGGTGGAGGCCGGCGCGGTGCTGCAGCGGGAGCCGCTGTACAACTGGCAGGCCACTAAGGGGTCGCTGCGGGAGCGCTTCGCCTTCCTCTTCTCCAACGAGCTGCTCAGCGACGTGCACTTCGTGGTGGGCAAGGGAGGCCCCCGCGGCGGCGGCAGCGGTGCGGGCGCGGGGGCCTCCCCAGGGCCCGGCCAGCAGCGCATCCCCGCTCACCGCTTCGTGCTGGCGGCCGGCAGCGCCGTGTTTGATGCGATGTTTAACGGCGGCATGGCCACCACCTCGTCCGAGATCGAGCTGCCCGACGTGGAGCCCGCCGCCTTCCTGGCGCTTCTCAGGTCAGGCCGCGGCGGTGCGGGGGGGAGGCTCTGGGGCTGGGGGCAGCGCACGGTGGGGGGGAGCGGGTCTCTCCCACCGGTATCGCGGGGCCGCGGCGGGCCTCACTCGGCCGCTGGCTCATCCCCTCGAGCCGCGGCCCCTCCTGGCTCCTGTCCCTGGAGAGCCCTTCCATTACCCCGGGCCGCCGGCATGTACCCGCAGGGGGAGACGCGGGGAACACGCATAAGCACCTTGCGGGCTGCACGCAAGGTCACACCGCCCGGGGGATGCGGTTTGATTCCTTCTTGCTCTTTCCCCGGCATCCTTTTCTCAAGAGAAGTGCCCTAACTTCAGAGCAGCTGGTTGTACCTTCAGAAGAGTACTTTGGTAGTCGTGGATGACTGGTTTGGGGTTTTGATTCTGGTTTTAATAAGATGATGGAGGTTAGTGGTTCCACCGAGAGCTGCAGCTGTCTATCCACCTAACAATGGCTAAGAAGGGACAGAGGCTGTTGCACCAAGCTTTTTCATTTCATACTTCCTTTGAAGCTTTATTCATCTTATTGGCCACTTTTTCAGCCTTGGCAATAAATTGTTGTATCATTTTACCAGAGTAATACACCCATTGTAGTCACACTTCACATACTTTTGGGTGAAGAATGAGCATACAGCAGAAGTTAGTAACTGATTTTTGCGCCCAAACTACCCAAATGAGTGATACCTGATGTGCACTGATGGCAAAAAGTATGTAAAATGGATTAGTGATTTCTAATTTGGGCAGAATAGGATCTGCTGCTTCTCATGCTCACAAAACCCTTGGGTTTATCTGTCATCTCTTTTTACTAGTGCTAAATAAAGCTCATGGAAACAATTCTGGTAGTTTCTTTGTGCTGTGGTGTGGTAATATGACAAAACTGCTTAACCTTAAGATTTTTCAGAAAGAAACTCTTCTGCTAGCAACACTTCTATAAAAGCTTATAAAATAGATTTCTGTAACAAACATTTGGGAAACAGTAATATTATTGCCTGGAAATAAATATGTAATGTCTTGAAGCTTTCTGTAATAGGAAAAGTTCTGAAGTCTTAGCAACTTTCTTTGTTTATTACCATAACAGATAAGATCAGTGAGAAGAGTCACATAGTCCTAGTAATCATGCACACAGGAGTTGCAATTGATTGGGGTGGGGAAGAATCCACCATGCAGCAGCAATGTCTCTGGTACTGTTAGTAAATGGGCTGTGTTTTGCGGATTCTTAGCAGAGAGGGAGTGGCAAGGTGAAGAGTTTGTGGGGCAGAGTGGGAGATAGTAGGAAGTGTCTTTCAAGCAAAATGGTTTCAAAGGTTAAAAGTAAATGACTGTGCACATCTATGTGTTTGTCTCTGTATATGTGGAAAAAACAATGGAGAGTAAAAAGTGAATATAATTAAAAAAGTTTAGATAAAAATATGAACACAGAAACAGGTGAGTTCTAAGTAAAGATAAGGGTGGTATTTGAAAACAGTACAAGTGAAGGAAGAGACGTTCTTAAATGCAAACAAAAGGCATCTTCTGTTGGTAGAGCCGCTAGTATGCAATGGGCAGGGGACTTACGTAAGTAAACTGATTACATTTGTGTCTTGACTAAATATCCCCAGACTAATGCACTGTTGATACCTCTCAGGTTTGATGTTGTCTTTGGTATGAAATACGTGGCAGCTTTTTAGGACATTCTTCTGCATTTTTGAGCTTATTTTGGAATAAATATACCTTGCAACACCTTGTTAAAAAGATATTTAAGGGTAACTTCTTTAACATAGACCAGTACAGGATGTC